GTAAGCTGCTGGCCAACGGTGTAGAGGTGGTGCTGGAAAGTGAAACTAGGCTCTCCCGAGGTCGGTCCTACTCCACCAACGACCTCCTCTTTGTCGACTATGACCAGGTCAGTCGCAGTTTTTTTTTTTTTATGTTCACTTGATTGGTGGCTTTATTGGATTTGAAGTCTATCGACTATGTCACCTTTACGCCAATCATGGATACTTTTAATCCCTAAAATTAATATTAACTTACACTGTATATAGAATGAGGAATCAGTCCTAAGTCTACCCACACAAATCATTCCCTTCGAAAGCAAGAAGCTTGACTGACAGATAGTGAAAAATACCCTTAATGAAAAGTAGGGGTACAATGAGTAAACTTATACATTTTCCCTTTATACATATGGGAAATTACTAAGACACTTAAGTATCTTCAAGAGGCTACTGGACAGATTCCTTTTAAGTCAAATTCCCGATGAGCTAGACTGTGACGCAAACGTTGGACTGTGTGAGGCTAGCACGAATAGCTTAGTTGATCAGGGTATCCCCCGGGAAGCCTCGTCTGGGACCGGACCGCAGGAGCCTTGACCCCCCCAAAAATCTACTCTAGGTAGATTGGGAAGTGTTTAACCCTTAGAGATCATACAACACCTGAAGAATAGGATTCAATTATGTTTGACCCTAGAATGAGGAGGATAAGCATTCATTAGCATGAAGGGTACAACCGCTGTAGACTTATCCTGCTCGGATAAATATCATTGAACTCAGTACTGGGCGTGGTATGGTGTGCCAGGAGTGAATAAATAGCTAAGTAAGCTTATTAGACACATTACACAAGTTTAGATTATAACACTTTTCGCATAGAATCATGCGTGTAAATTAGCTAGGATAACCTAATAAAGTCGAGCAAGTTACTTCCATGGTGGTCCATACAGGAAGCAAGGGTAGTTCTAGGTTGCTCCAACACTACCTTGGTAAGGCACTAGTTGTAGAGCAAGCTTTTATTTGGGACTCGTTTCGCTCTGTGTACAGCTCTACAAAGAGCAAAGCGTTGTCCCATCAAAAGTTTTTTTCTGCAACCTGTCTTATCTAACCTATTGTAGAGAGTATGACATTTAGATTTAATATTTTATTTGACAACCTCAACCTTCCTCACTTGTAATAAAAGGTACACAACCAGTAAGGTTCTGACTTCCTGGTGAGTGACAATGAAGTTGAACTTCGTCACTGTCCCGACTCATTGTGGTATTTCCTATAGCATGCCCCCTCTTGACATTTCTATAGCTTGTCCTTGACATTTTCTATAGCTTGCCCTTGACATTTTCTAGTCTTCCCTTGGAATTTTCATTTTTTCTTGGTATTTCTTATAGTTTGCCATTAATATCTTAGTACATGTATCTCATAGCGCAATAGCTAATTGATGAATAAGATGCATGTGCAACAAATGGATATCTCTATTGTAGAAACGTTTCGCCTGCGCTCCAGATTTCAGTCAAATATAGGCAGATATAACGCTGGAGACAGTATAACTATGGCAATAATTTTTAAAGGGGTGGAGGGGTAAGCCAATGGAAGGCCTCGGTTAAAATGACCATAAGCTCCAACGGCAGGTCATCATATGACTAAGACCCCCGTCAGAAACACTTGTCCTGTTTCCTGGCGAACCATCTCGATTAGTCTCATTTTGATAGGTGGTAGTCAGTTACTCAGCTTAAAGCTTTAAAGCATGCGACCGGATCTTTCTACTGGATGAATAAGCTAGAGTTCCGACTCGTCCGAGGGACTCAAGGTCGAACCCTATACGAGGCGGGCGTGTGGACGAGTCCCAACACTTACTGTCTCTGTCTCTGTTTTCTTAACAGTAAATAACTACCTGGCGTTGACGAGTAGAGGGGGCCATGATAACTATTTTCTGAGGGAATCATTAACCTGATGAGCAGTGGAGTTTGGAAATTTGCTGGCAATGTTAGTCCCCTATGACTGAGAAGATATTAACTTTATTTATTGTATCATCAATTTGGATGAGAGGATCGTTAGTTAATAATAATAAATATCTATTTCTACAAGTACATGTACAAAGTATTTCAGGCCTAGTTAACATCAATGACATACTACTATATAGAAAGCCGCTTGTTATACTGAACATTTCGGGCAAATTAAAATCAGTTTTGTCCCAGGATGCGACCCACACCCGTCCACAACACCCAGGTACCCATTTTATACTGATGGTGAACAGGAACAAAAGGTTTTTTTATGGAAATACGTCCCTATTGTTTTCCAGCCGTACCGGAGATTCGATCTCCGGACCTCAGTTTTGTGAGCTGAGTACTCCACCTATTTGCACCTATTTTTGGTTGCAGGGGTCGAGTCACAGCTCTTGGCCCCCCCTCTTCGCTGATTGCTACTAGGTCCTCTCTCTCCCTGCCCCATGAGCTCTAATCATCCTCGCCTTTAAAAATATGTATGGTTTCCTGCCTCCACCACATCACTTTCTAGGCTATTCCATGGCCTGACTACTCTATGACTGAAGAAATACTTCCTAAAATCCCTTTGATTCATCTGAGTCTTCAACTTCCAATTGTGACCTCTTGTGTCTGTGTCCCACCCTCTGGAACACCCGTCTTTGTCCACCTCGTCTATTCCGCGCAGTATTTTAATATGTTATCATGTCTCCCCTGACCCTCCGGGCCCCTTCAGTGTCGTCAGGCCGATTTCCCTCAACCTTTCTCATAGGACAACCCCCCGTAGCTCTGGGACTAGTCTTGTTGCAAACCTTTGCACTTTCTCTAATTTCTTGACGTGCTTGACTAGGTGTGGATTCCAAACTGGTGCTGCATACTCCAGTATGGGCCTGACGTAGATGGTATACAGAGTCTTAAACGAATCCTTACTGAGGTATCGGAACGCTATCCGTAGGTTGCCAGGCGCCCGTATGCTGCAGCAGTTATCTGATTGATGTGCGCCTCGGGAGATATGCTCGGTGTATACTCGCCCCCAGATCTTTTTTCCTTGAGTGAGGTTTGCAGTCTTTGGCCATCTAAACTATATTGTGTCTGCGGTCTTCTTTGCCCTTCCCCAATCTTCATGACTTTGCATTTGGCAGGGTTAAATTCAAGGAGCAGTTGCTGGCCAGGCTTGTAGCTTGTCCAGTCTCTTTGTAGTCCTGCCTGATCCTCGTCCGATTTGATTCTTCTCATTAACTTCACATCATCTGCAAACAAGGACACTTCTGAATCTATCCCTTCCGTTAGTCGTTCACGTATACCAAAACAGCACAGGTCCTAGGACTGCCCCCTGTGGAATCCCCCGCTTGTCACAGGCGCCCACTCTGACACCTCGTCGCGTACCATGACTCGTTGTTGCCTCCCCGTCAGATATTCTCTGATCCATTGCAGTGCCTTTCCTGTTATGTGTGCCTGGGCCTCTAGCTTTTGCAGTAACCCTTGTGAGGAACTGTGTCGAAGGCCTTCTTGCAGTCCAAAAATACGCAGTCGATCCACCCCTCTCTCTCTGTCTTCTGTCACCTTGTCATAAAACTCTAGTAAAGGGTTTTTGACACAGGATTTTCCTCCCCTGGAAACCGTGCTGGTTGTCAATTTTTACACTTGTTTCTTTCCAGGTGCCCCCCACCACTTCTCCTCCTGATGATCTTCTCCATGACCTTGCATACTATACACGTTAGTGATACAGGTCTGTATTTAGTGCCTCATGTCTGTCCCCCCTTTTTTAAAAATTGGGGCTACATTTGCCAAATTTTTCCCTACCTCAGGAGTTGCCCAGTTTCAAATGATGTGTTTGAAGATCCTTTTTTAATGGCTCACACAATATCTCTGCTCCCTCTTTAAGGACCCATGGGGAGATGTTGTCCCGGTCCCACCGCCTTTGAGGTGTCCCAAATTCGCATAGCAGCTTCTTCACCTCCTCCTTGTTATATGTACCTCATCCAGCACTTGCTGGTGTGCCCCCCTGTTCTGATTTCTTGGAGTCCTACTGGTTTTCCACTGTAAATACCTCTTTAAATCTTGTGTTGAGTCCTGACATACCTCTCGGTCGTTTCTTTTTGAATTCCCCATCACCCTTCCTCAGTCTGAAATTTCCTGGTCCTTGACTGTTGTTTTCCTCTGATGTGGCTGTACAACAGCTTCGGGCGTCTTTACTTTTGTCATGTCATTTCATATTTTCTCGAGCCCCCTTCTTCT